TGTTGTAGTCACTGGTTACAAGTCCTAATTTGAAGAGAAGGAAAATAAAACTGACCTCTGAGAAATCAGCTAGCAAAATAATAGAGTAGGATCAAGAAATCAATCATGAGTAAGTGAAGAATTTTAGAAGTATCGAAAATGCAATTAAAAGGTGATCTTGAGGGTGGGCTCAATGGCAATCACAGCCTGGTAAATGAAATTCTTGTAAGTTATCATGTGACCTTGTCTAGGAATAGACTGTGATCACAGAGAGGAAGAGCTGAGTGGAGTATAGACAAGGTGACCTTGAGAAGGAAGACTTGGGAGCGGGTGTCTCAACAATATGCAGAATTCATTCTCAATATAAACATTTCAAACAACACATATAAAGTTAAAATGTCCCTCAACCACATCTCCCAAATTCCATTATCATTTTGGGTATGCATTTTTCCTAACCTTTCTGTCAATGCATTTGTTATTTTGTGGGTTTTTTATTTTAACTTTAATATACATTTATACACATGTACATTATTCCACTGTACTCATGTTCTACAACTTGCTTTCTTCCCTTAATAATATTTTTATCTTAGGGGTCTTTTTGTGAAAATAAATATGGATCTTCCTCCTCCTTTTTAAAATTTATTTTTTAGTTATAACTGGACACAATATCTTTATTTATTTATTTATTTTTTGTTTAATTCTTAAGTTTTAGGTGGACACAATATCTTTATTTTACATTTATGTGGTGCTGAGGATCAAACCCAGTGCCTCATGCATGCTAGGCGAGCACTCTACACTGAGCTGCAACCCCAGCCCACAATATCTTTATTTTATTTTATTTTTATGTGGTGCTGAGGATTGAACGCAGTTAGGCAAGCACTCTAACTCATGTTAGGCAAGCACTCTACCTCTGAGCCACAACCCCTTCATCCTTTTTAATATGTACAGACTATAAAAAAAGTTTACCTAGTTTTTCCTAATGATGAATATTTAGGCTGTTTCCAAATTATCACCATTACCAACAAGGCTACACATACCTTCTGTACAAGTATGAATGTTCTCTAAGGTAGGGTTTTTCAAACCCATCAGTGAACGTGAAATCAATTATGTAGTGATTGGGATTTTGTTATTTTATATAATAAGTTTTTTTTTTTTTAAGAGAGAGTGAGAGAGGAGAGAGAGAGAGAGAGAGAGAGAGAGAGAGAGATTTTTTTAATATTTATTTTTTAGTTCTCGGCAGACACAACATCTTTGTTGGTATGTGGTGTTGAGGATC